ACTCACCTCAGCCTCCCAAAGGCGTGGGATTACAGGCTGAGCCACTGAGCCCGGCTCATGGGTGGGATTTGTAATCCAGTCTGTCCACACTGACGATGGCGACTGACTTTGTGGTCTGTATCTGCTTCCTCTTGCTGCTGTGACAAGTTACCACAAACATGAAATACAAAACCAGCACAGAATTTTTTTGTCTTACAGCTCTGAATGTCAGAGGTCAAGGGGTCAGTGGCAGCCAGTTGACTTTCTTGGGAAGCTCTGGGGGAGAATGTGTCCATGACCCGTGGCCCCTTCTGGCCTTCACATCATTCCGACCCAGACTTCCCTCCGTCACTGGGTCTCTCTGATCCTTCTGCTTATAAGGGACCTTCTGATGATCTCAGGAGCTCCAGGCTGTCCAGGGTCATCTCATACCTCAAGGTCTTTTACTCTGCAAAGACCCTTGTTTGGTTCTGTTTTGTTTTTTGAGTTGGAGTCTCATTCTGTCATCCAGGCTGAGTTGTAGTGGCACGCTCAGGGCCACCGCAGCCTCGACTTGCTGGGTTTGGGGGATCCTTCCGCCTTAGCCTCCTGAGTAGCTGGAACTACAGGCATTCGCCATCACGCCCCGCTAATTTTTTAAAAAATTATTGTAGAGATGAGGTTTTGCCAAGTTTCCCGGAGTGATCTCGAACCCCTGGGCTCAGGTAATCCACTCTCTTTGGCCTCCCAAAGTGCTGGTATTGCAGGCTTGAGCTACCCCACTGGCCTTGGTTTTGTTTTTTGATTAGGGGTCTTACTCCACCACCCCCCTGGAGTGCCGTGGTGCGATTCCGGCTCACCACAGCCTTGATATCCTGGGCTCAGGCAATCCTTCCACCTCAGCCTCCTGAGTAGCTGGGAATACAGGCACACACCGCCATGCCTGGCTAATTTTTCTTTCCTTTATTTATAGAGACAAAGTCTCACCCAGACTGGTCTCAGACTCCTGGGCTCAAGGAAACCTCCTGCCTCAGCCTCCCAAAGTGCTAGGACTACAGGTGCACATCACTACTCCCAGCTACATATTTTTTTTAAGTTTTTTGTAGAGACAGGGTCTCACTCTGTTGCCCAGACTGGTCTCAGGCTCCTGGGCTCAAGCGATCCTCCTACCTCAGCCTCCAAAAGTACTAGAATGACAGGCGTGAGCGGCCACACCAGGTCTGCCCTTAATGCAGAAGAATCCCTTCCAGTGTGAGTGTCTGTGTCACCCAGGGGGCAACCCCACTGGGGTTCATCTTTTTTTTTTTTGAGTTGGAGTCTCACTGGGTCCCCTAGACTGGAGTGCAGTGGCCGCTTGCAGCCACCGCAGCCTCGCCTGCTGGGCTCCGGCAATCCTTCCGCCTCAGCCTTCCGAGTAGCCGGAATTACAGGTGCGCGCTACCACGCCCAACTGATTTTTTGATTTATTGTAGAGATGAGGTCTCGCTGCCCAGGCGGGTCTTGAACCCGCGGGCTCAGGCAATCCACTCACCTCAGGCTCCCAAAGGCGCGGGATTACAGGCTGAGCCATGGAGCCCGGCTGGGGTTCATCTTAAGTTTGACTTGGGAATGCCACAGAAGCGCCTAGCAATGCTCTAGAAGGATCTGTGGAAGCTTCACATTAAGACAGGCGTGGCTGCCGCCTCCACTGTATGTATCCACCACCCACCAATATGCCCATGTCTCTCCTTTGCCCCGCAGGCCTGTGTTGCATCGAAATGTCCGCTACAACTGCAGAGTGATCTTTCTCAATAGGTGAGTATCCCCCACCCACCCACCCCGGGAGGATGGCCGGCCTGCCTCTCCCTGTCTCTCAGCTGGAGGGCTGTGGGGCCCTGGAAACCACTGCTGGGAGAAGCTTCTGGAAGGACCAGCCTCAGTGAGGGCCCCAGGCAGGGGATTCAAGGGACTTTGCTTCTCTAGGTCTCGGCCACCACTGCAGGCAGAAGAGAGAGGGACCCAGAGGGCGGAATTGGGAACACAGATCCTTGTTGCCTGGAGGCCTGGGTAGGAGGGAGGTCTCTGTGCAGACCCTGGTTGCCCGCTGCCAGCAAAGCGCACCCCGTCCAGGGCCAGGGTCATCACACACCTCAAGCGCACCCTGGCCAGGACTCAGCAACTGCTGTTGACCCCAGGAATGGGTGGAGCCCAGGGGCCTGCCTCGCAGACAGAAAGTTCCAGCACAGTGGGGGAAAGAGTCTTGCCTGGGGCCCTGTTTCTGAGGCGTCTCTGTGAAGCGTCACCTGATCCTTTGGGACAGTGACCACCGGCCACGTGCGCTTGTCTTGAGAGCCCGCGTGAGCAGCCCTGTCCCCTGCCCGCAGGAAGATTCTGCTTATCAGACCCAAGATGGCCTTGGCCAACGAAGGCAACTACCGCGAGCTGCGCTGGTTCACCCCGTGGTCTAGAAGTCGGTGAGTCCCAGTGCCTGATGCACAATGCGTGATGTGGGATGCTCCTGGCTGTTTATCAGGCTTCTCTGCAGAATGGGGACTCACTCCTGTCATCCCAGCACTCTGGGAAGTGGAGGCGGGAGAGTCACTTGAGCCCAGGACTTCAGGGCCAGCCTGGGCAGCATAGCAAGACCTCACCTCTACAAAAAAGTGTTAAAAATTAGCCAGGTGTGGTGGTGTGCACCTGTAGTCCCTGCTACTTGGGAAGCTGAGACAGAAGGATAGCTTGAGTCTAGGAGTTCAAGACCAGCCTGGGCAACATAGCAAGACCCCATCTCTACAATAAATAAAGAAAAATTAGCTAAGTATGGTGGCACATGCCTATAGTCCCTGCTACTGGGGAGGCTGAGGCAGAAGGATTGTCTGAGCCCAGGAGGTTGAGGCTGCAGTGAGCCGTGATTGTACCACTGCATACCGGTCTGGGAGACAGAGGGACATCTCAACTCAAAAAAAATATCTTGGCCTCGTGTGGTCCCAGATCAGGGAGAAGACACAGATATGGCTGCCCTGATGGTGCTGATTAAATTGCAGGCAGCCCAGCCGGGCGCAGTGGCTCCCACCTATAATCCCAGCACTTTGGGAGGCCGAGGTGAGAGGATTGCCTGAGCCCAGGGGTTTGAGGCCAGCCCGGGTAACTTGGCGAGACGTCATCTCTACAATAAACTTTTTAAAAGTTAGCTGGGCATGGTGGCGCATGCCTGTAGTTCCAGCTACATGGAAGGCTGAGGCAGAAGGATCACCAGAGCCCAGCAGGTTGAGGCTGGGGTGGCCGTGAGCATGCCGCTGCACTCCAGCCTGGGCGACAGAGCGAGACTCCGACTCAAAAAATAAATAAATAAAAGCAGTAAATTGCAGGCAGGTCATTTCAGATCACATGAACCTCAGTCACCCTCAGGGACCATCAGTCATTTTAGGTGAAGTGTCACTTCCGTCTTGAACCATCCCATGTGTCAGGGGTTCGCCCATGTGTCAATGGCTTCCTTGTTGGGGGCAGCGTGCTGTCGTGTGCATCAAAAGGGGTTAGCTGTGTCCCTGTGTCCACAAAGGGTCACAATGTGCAAGCCCAAATGTCCCCAGCTATTACCAAATGTCCCCTGGGAGGCAAGGTCACTCCCAGGTCCAAGTAGCTGGGACTACAGGTGTGCACCACCACACCTGGCTAATGTTTTTGATTTACTATAGTTGTAAGGTCTCACTATGTTGCCCAGGCTGGTCTTGAGTTCTTGGGCTCAAGCGATCCTCCCACTTCGGCCTCCCAAAGTGCTGGGATGATAGGTGTGAGCCACAGTACCTGGCATCAAGGTTAACTTTATGCAGCGTCCTACCCGGGAGGGCATCCGAGAGTCTCTGGGTCTCGCCCCACGGTCGTGTCCCTCCCTGTCTCCCATACAGTCATTCCTGATCTCCTTGTGCCCAATCCCATGACTTCAAAGCCCATGGACACTTAAGAGAAACGGGCAAATCCACCATCACAGGGAGAGATTTAAATTTGCCTGAATTCTCAGGCCGGGCACGGTGGCTCACACCTATAATCCCAGCACTGTGGGAGGCTGAGGCAAGAGGACTGCCTGAACCCAGGGGTTCGAGACCAGCCTGGGCAACTTGGCGAGACCTCGTCTCTACAATAAATAAAATAAAAAATTAACCGGGCGTGGTGGCGCATGCCTGTAGCTCCAGTACTTGGAAGGCTGAGGCAGAAGGATCGCCTGAGCCTAGCAGCTCGAGGCTGTGGTGGCCATGAGCGTGCCACTGCCCTCCAGCCTAGGCAATAGAGTGAGACTCCAACTCAAAAAATAAAATAAAATAAATTTGCCCGAATTCTCATTAACTGATGGACCAATATGTTAAACAAGGACATGTTGCCTTGGACAAGGATACTTTATAAACTTGGCTGCATGGAACCTCACCACCCCCAAACCGCAAGCCAGGAAGGGACACGTTCTTCTCAAGCACAGATTGAGCAATATGAGAGTGGCCCCATGCTCGGTGGTCCAGAAAGTCCCCAACATACGAATGAGTTCAGTTCCAAGAGTGTTCTTTTTTTATTTTTTTGAGTTAGAGTCTCACTCTCACCCAGACTGGAGTGCAGTGGCTGCTCCCGGTCACTGCAGCCTCGACCTACTGGGCTCCGGCGATCCTTCCAAGTAGCTGGAATTACAGGCGCGCGCTACCACGCCAGGCTAATTTTTTTTTATTTATTGTAGAGATGAGGTCTCACCAAGTTGCCCAGGCGGGTCTCGAACCCATGGGCGCAGGCAATTCACTCACCTCAGCCTCCCAGGGCGCGGGATTATAGGCTGAGCCACCGAGCCCGGCTAAGAGTGTGTTCTTAAGTCCATTTGTTGTAAGTCCGACAGAGTTAGTCTAGGTACCCAACTCACACAATCAGTTGTATAGTCCTGTATGTGTTTACCAAGCTATGTTGACACCTGGTGGAGAGAAATGATACATTAAAAAACAGTGACTGTGCATTGTTAAAGTTGTAACTTGAAGGTTTGTATGTAGAGGACTTACTGTATGACAATTCTTTTTTTCTTTTTCTTTTTTTTTGAGTTTGAGTCTCACCCCATTGCCCAGGCTGGAGCACAGTGGCACACTCACGGCCACCTCAGCATTGACCTGCTGGGCTCAGGTGATCCTTCCGCCTCCGCCTTCCAAGTAGCCAGAATTACAGGCGCGCACTACCACACCTGGCTAATTTTTTTTTTGAGTTGGAGTCTCACTCAGTCGCCCAGACTGGAGTGCAGTGGCTGCTC